GGAGGATGTTCAGAATTTGGCAGGGAGCTTTCAGAAGCCCTCATCTAGAATCTGTAAATGCCCTTCTAAAACAAAGAAGCAAAACTTGAAACAACGCTGATACCTGCAGACAATTTATAATGAGAAGACGGAGAAGTGCGATTTCTATCTTCTAAGTCTTGCTCTGCGAATTCAGATCGCAGAGATTTTCAAGGAGGAGGCAACAAGAAAACTGTTCTTGTGACCTCCAGAAAGAGATGGCTTACCCTGCTCAGCTGCAGCTTCCTGAGCAATAAAACTTATATTACTACAAGGACTGCACAAAGAAAGAATGAAGAAAGTCTCTGCATCCCCATCACAGACTGAGATGAACAGGAATGAAACATTATCCGATTTCTTTCTAGAGAAGCCATACAAAACCACTGACCTGGTGCTGTTCAGGATTGCAGAGACCTGGTACTTCAGGTTTTTAACAAATTGAGCTGTCACAGAGCAGCAATGCCACAAGGGCAAGAATTAAATTCACTATCAATGCCCAAGGTCCATAAGAGATCCCAGGATGCATCCAGAAATTCAGCCATCCCCAAATATTTATTTTTGACTCCAGTACTTAATCATGTAGCATCAGGAGCTCTGCGATAGGTGGCTGAACTTGAAAGGAATGTGAAGAATACTGCATAGGGGGATGCAATGCCCACAGAGACATATCCTGCAAGGGCAGTCCTGGGCTACTGAGGTCTTCAAACGTAACGCCTTTCTCTCTGTGGCTGAGGAGGAAAGTCATCTGTCTATGCTAACCTCAAAGAATGAGAGCATCCTTTCTCAGCATTAGCATTTTTTGGACTCCTTGCAGAGTGTCAGACAGGCTGATGGTGAAGTCTCCATTCATAGTAAAATATGGAGAAAAAAAACAAGGGATTTTTGTTCCCTCATCTGAGAGGGGAAGCTCAATTACTCCAGTCAGGAACTCCCAACTTCAGCAATATTCCTCTCCTTATTTTGAAATTTGTTAAGTTGTGCCTCTTAAGCATGCTGCGTAACACGGACATTAACTAGAAAGGCACAGAAGTAAATGAGGTGTAGCAGGCTTTGTAAATAACTGGATAAGGTGCCAATGTGAAAGAGATGGATCTCTGGAAAGTTCAGAGATTTTCCATGCCAGCGGCTGTGATTTGCTCTCTCGGAACTCAGAGCCTCACTGCTGCTGAGATGTGTCACAGTTCTCTTTTGCATGTTCATGGTCTGGCTCTTCAAATCACGTTGAAATGACAAACTTCAGGCCAAACAGTGCCGGCAACTAGCCAAGGATCAGACAAGCGCTCTCTGGCAACACTTTCATACATTTCTTACCCAAACAGTCAGCTTAAGCAAGAGCCTACAAAGCTAAAATTCAAAAATAAGAGGCAATGGGAGGAGGTCCACGGCTGATGATTCCCCCCCACACCATCGTGCAGCTATCAGAAGAAGGAATGCTCTGGTATCGGTCTGAGTGATCTAAACATGGGATTAGTCAACGGCGCTCAGCAGACAGCTGGAATTATTTGAGGACTGAAGTCACGGGGCCATGAGAGAAGCTCCTTGATTAAGTCCCAGCTGCAACCAGCAGCAATACCCTTGGCCCGGTGGGAGAGGTTCCTTCCAGGTGCCTCCTGGGCAGAGAAGTCTGCAATGAAGCTTCCAGCTATCCTGAGACCGCACAGACGCCAAGTCAGAGCCAGTGACAAGTGGCTGGGCCTCTGCATCTGGACTAGAGAGTAGAAAGAGAAAAGGTGATGCAGGACTGGGAAAGCCGCACTGCGAGGCCAACTCTGCCTGTTTCAGGAGCTTGTATCTACTTGGACTTAAGAGTTTCAGCCATTTCAAGGGAAAAGAAGCAGTGAAGTGCAGTCAGAGGGCAGCAAACCCTGAGGAGATCCCCACTAGAGACAGATTGGAGGAAACGAGGGAAGTAAAGCCCTCTCCTGTCTGGCACCCTATCTGGTATTGCCCATAGAGGATTGAAGAAGAATGTCAGCGTTAAGAAGGAGATCACATCCTCCAAAGTTTAGCCAATCTGTCAGGAAGACTTGCCTTCGATAGCAGTAGCAGAAGACAGAAAGAAGCAAGAAATGTGAGCTCAGCGTGACTATCTTTTCTGATCTTAAAGAGCCTTCCTCTTCCTCTCTCCTGCTTTTATCAGCTCCTGTGAAAAAAAATTCACACCAGCTGTCTAGACAATTGGTCTGCACGCTTAAGAAAGTACAACAAATAGGACTCCTCAAATCCCAAACCACAACGTAGACGAGAATGAAGCCTTATGAGTGACCCATTCCTCAAGCAAAAAGATCTTCCTCTGAAGGTTTCACAATGGGAAAACTGCTCTGCATTGCAACAGGAATGCAGATGATTTTAAAAAGTTGAGGTGATGTATTCCACGCAGCATATGTCTTTCCTAGGCACGTCCTGTATCGTGTTAAGTAAACTTTCATATATAAAGCAGCTTAAAACAGTCTTAAGTTACATTTGCGTTCCTGGCCCTGTTAAGTGTTAAAAGCTCATGGTATTCCCAGGAAGAAAAGAAGCATCGTTATTTTTGAGGCATGTTATACATCACAGAGGCTTATATTTCCCCGACATACAGGAGTATGAGTCTATATTTGATTAACATAAAAAGACCCTTACCAGAAAGTGAGTAATCTGTATTAGTCATCCTCATGGCTGGAGTATAAGATACACTTGGCATGTCATGGCCTTTCTCCTTCTGTTTCCGTCGATACCACACAAACAGTGCCAGCAAGACCATAATAATTAGAAGGAGAATAATAATTCCAATGATTGCTCCCACTGAGTGCCTCTCTGATCCAAGAGCAGGGCTAATTTTAGTATAGGGGTTTAATTCTTCCATCATAAGAGCCGCTGTTAAAAGTAATTCATAACACACTGTAAATTGAATCGTGCATTCCATTTTTGAAATACTACTTTTTTTAAAGCAAGTACATCATTGGTGGGAGAGAAGGAGAAAGAGAGAGATATATACATATTTTACAGACAGAATTTCACTGTACCTTGATCACATCGGATTCCTTTGAAGCCCGGACTGCAGTAGCAAGTACCTGTGACATGGTCGCACGTGGCATTATTCATGCACTCACAGAGTTGTTTGCAGCCATAACCAAACGTTCCTGGTGAGCACTCTGGGAAGCCAAAGAAAAAGATTGGGAACAATTCTACTTTTTTCAAAAGCAGGTGAAACACTTGCCATGGGAAACTCAGTGGAAGCGTCTCCCTGGCTTCAGTGTCTCTGGGACAACACCTTAATGTCAGATGAGCGTTAGTTTAAAGCAAGAGATAAACGTATTTCATGCACAGTTTGGGATATTACTTATTAAGCTGTAACTTTCTGGAAAAGTCATACAAGGTTTCACAAGAACGAAAGCAGTAAAACGTACAGAGACTTTTAAAAGGCTTGATACATATTATGAGCACCCAGAATTGAGCTCAGAAGCTGCAGACAACATCTTGAAAGAGAACAGCATTCCCCACGAACTCTGCACTTTTTTTTTTCATGGGGGTAGTTGCACAGAGAAGTTTACATGAACACAAAATGGCTTTTACCAAACAAATCCCACATGCTTTCATACTTATCCCTACTAGTGCTAGAAGACAAATATAACACTGTAGGTGGAATTACAGTATCGAGCATCTGAATGGTTTGATCTGTTCTGCTTCTGCATTAGGATTCCTAATATAGAAGGAATTTCTATCCTGGCTTTGTATTTCTATCAAAGACAAAATGATTGAATGTCCAGCTGAGAAATTTATTCACACAATTACCATGATGGGCTATCACAATAAATCTGTAGGCGGCTTACTATACTTCTTGAGGCACTATTCAATAATAAATTGAAAGAAACAACTTCCGTCACATCCTACTGATTTCTATGGAGAAGACACATTATTGACTACAGGCACACTTGCTATGATTCCTTAGAATATACATTGTTTTAAGACGTGACTTCTTGTGTCATTTTGCATGCCAATATCTTCCTGACTTCAGTCGCTAAGTAACTTTTAGTAGGCAAAACTTAATATTAAGTAATGGACAGTATCCACTATCTGTGTAATGATTTGCTGTGTGTATTAAAGCTGTATCTCTTTCTTTCATCTGCAGGTTCCCAAGCAAGGAAAAATAAAATTATTACAATTAGTGCTTATTCTGACATTAACCTGTAGCCTACTTAAAACGAAAAAGGCCTAAATTTTTTGGACTGCACCACAGAAATGAAGTCTGCATTTAGGCATTCCATCTGCAATGCAGTGCAACTGCCCACTCAGCAGGATTTCGAGAAGGAAGGAGTCCTAATGAAGAGTTTTAGATTAAACAGCAGAAAAACAACTAAATAAATACATTTGTAGCTTAGATAGAAAAGAAAGCCTGAGGCTTTGTAGAGAGGTCAAACTATAAATGTAGCTTCTTGCATAAAATCTGCAAGGATGCAGGTCTACGATGGAACTTTTCAGTTTCCTAATTTATTTCTGGTTGCAGTAAGGGCGTACACAAATTCACAGTAAGTCGGCCACTTACAGAGTTACGGTGGTGCCATCTGTAATCCCCACATTAGCATGAAAATCTGGCCCAGAGATACGTGCCTTGCTGAACCCAAGTATGGGCAAAAAAAAGAGATGTTTGTGGCTTTAGTTATACGTGAGAATACTTCCATAAAGATCCACGCAGTAAGCAACAGTGAAGAAGCTTTCACTTGCAAATCTAGCAGGAAACCTCACTGCCAAAAAAAGGAATGAAACTCTGTGGAATTAATGCCTTGGTAAGGTGAGACAGATTCCACCCTGCTTTTAGAATCCAAGTAAGGGTGTAAGAATTTTCTTTTGATTTACTATACTGGACAAAGAAGTAATTATTCATCCACAGCACATACAATTTCTACTACTCTAATTCTTTGTTCTTAAAAGCAACCATTTGGCACGGCATGCTAAATATGCCAGCAAGACACTGACAACAATAACAGTAAGATGTGCCAGTACTCTTGCAAGGTAATTGAAGTTCATTGTTCAACACTTGCTCACCACTGAAGTTAAACGCAGATCCTTCCAAAAAAACCGGCAAGCAACTATTTTCCTCGGTCTGTTCTCACTGTAAACATGAATCTTTATTTGGTCCACATCTACAGCATAACAACTTATGTAAGAAAGCCCTCGTATTCCTTGGAAGGCAGAGAGGACTTCTTTCTTTTAACCCTTCTGTCCTCCTTCATGCCCAGAGAAACCTGCGGCTGCTGCTCTCAGCCACGTCAGCGATGCGCGATGCAGCTTGGGTTTGTCTATTGATTGGGTACAAGTTGTTTGGGAAGGCTACATCGAGTCAGCGCTGAGCACAGCGACTTGCTTTTATCTCAGCTAACTTTAGGCTGGGAATGGGAAAGCCTAATTTGCAGAGGATTCACTATATTTCTTTATGCTTAAACAGACTGTCCAGCTTTCCAGAGATGCTTTCTTCTCCCTACGGATTAGATAAGATGCCCGGGGTTACTGTCTTGCTGACATCAACACCTATTTAAGAGCCTATTTCTGCAAAGAATTCTGAAATACACACACAGACATCCCCTCCTGCCCCCCTGCCAGGAGAAACAGAAAAATGAAGTCATGTTGCTACTTACTTTGCTCACATTGTTTGCCTGTAAATCCAGTCCTGCACGTGCACTGGCCAGTGATGTGGTCACAGTCCGCTCCGTTCTGACACTGACAAACGTTGGCACAGTTTTTTCCATAAAAAGCAGCTGGGCAACCTTTCAAGAATCAGAATAAGGGAAGACTAAGAAATAAGCTGAAACACAGTAGGCCTATAAATCTATGGATTTTCAGCCTCTGTATATTTAATAACATTTATTTGATCATCTAAATGCAGAGATACTATGGCAGCCAATTTTCTTGAAGTGGCGTTTCTCCTATCTCACAGAATTGCCTCTTAAGTGTTTCAGAAGAACAAAAATCTTGACCCACCTACGCAAACTACATTTTCAAGAAGAGAAAGAAGATGGCTAAACAGGAACTCTCTAAAAAGCCAGAGATCAATCAATTACTTGCAGGTGAAAGAGCCTTCTTAAAAGGCTCACCAGAATTTGATCTCCTCTTTTGTAGAGTGCTGATAATTTGGCATTAGCAGGATGAGAAATCTCAAACGTTTTCCTAAATCAGACTGCATACGCTGGGGCTTTAACAAGCAGGGACACAGACTGTGTAAATTCTGCCAATGAATCCATAACCTAAATGATCGGTCCCTCTCCTTTATCGAGTGCCAAAGGCATGGAAAACCTTGAGGAGCTTCAGGACTAATTTCTTCGGGGCGACGTGAAGTTACCACAAGGAAGAAGCGGGTGGTTTAACAGGGAGGATTGCAATACTTGGGAGAGACACGAGGTAGCAGCACATACTTTGACAGATTCCCTGGCACAAGTGTCTCTGAAAGGCTTACGCTGAGTGCAGTAGAGCCCCGTCCAACCATGAGTACATCTACATTCTCCATCGTAAGGGCTGCACATTGCTCCGTTGTGGCAGTTGCATGAATGAAAGCAATCGGGGCCCCAAAAACCAGCGGGACAAGCTATGAAAATAAAAAAGATTTGTCAGCTGACGAAAAAGAAAAGAAAAATAAGGCAATGATACCGTGTTAGTGCTGCGGAGGAACAACAATAAAGGGAGAACCTGCGGGACAGCAGCAGAGGCAGAAGTTCGCATTGCAGAGCCTGGCATCACTGTGGCGACTCCCTGACAACGAGCCAACGATTGCTTTGCAAACCCAACCTCCAACCTCACCTGGCCCTGGCACGAGGGGTTTCCGTCCTATGTGGGGCAGGTGGCAGGATCGGGTCTTTGCTGTGAATGTGCACCGAGAAACCCTAAACCAGCGACTGTCGACATGACATTAAGTGCTCCAGCCGCTATCCCTGCCTTACCAGGGAAGACAATTTAGACAGGGTTTTAAGATGTGAAGGTAATTTAATTTTCTTTTTGATATTCTGGAATTCTTGCCTAATACAGCACAGCGATTCATGGTTTATTTTTACTATGTGATCAACTACCCCATTCATTTGAAGCACAGAGCGCTACTCAAATTACGTAAAAATGTAAAGAAAACTCCTTACAGTGTGAGTTCCCATCCACAAAATCAGATTGCTTTTGTTGACGGGGCTAATATTAAATTAAAACCTCCAGGTCTATTTTAAATTTCAGCAAGTGCAATATTACTACGATTTCAAAAGTTATTTTAAGCCTCCCTCCGAAAATAAATGCAGTAAGTTACAGTTATTAGTGCCAGACTAAAAGATCCAAAATGATGATTACCTTTCAACATAACAACTGTATTTTTGCTATGAAAAGCACTTTTCAATGCTTCCTATTAAAGACGTGAATTAATAAGGCATCGTTCCCAGGAAACCTGAAAGTACAGAACCGGTGCCTATTTCCAGGTATGCCATTGGCTCCAATTCTGACGATAAATGCAAGTTTCTGGCATATGACAGACATCTCTAAAGCCAGAATGAATAGCAAAAAAAAAATCCAAACCAACCCTGCCATGACGTAAATCAAACAAAAGGTCACTGAACTCACACAGTGTAAAGCTGAACAGCATTTGGCCTAAGGTATTCGTGCTATAAGCAACCAGAAATACTTCTACAGCGCCTTTGTAAGCCGGAGCTGCAGGGGCTGTTAGTGGCTCCAGAACCGGCTCTGGAGTCGGAGCTAAAATTATCTCCTCTGCAGCTCCGTCTCTCGGTCATTCCAGGTTAACTGGTGCGGAGGGAGGTCTGACCGAAATAGCCCCGTGCCGGGCTCGGGGAGGGGAGGCCGGGTGCCGACAGGAGCCTGGTGCAAGGCCAGGTTCATGTCAGGAGATTTAGGCTTTCTTTACGAGAAGGTAACTGAGGAAACAGCCAGGTTCCCACTTTGTTCTTCCGAAATACGAAGCAGCTCTCACCAGGTCCTTCTGCCTGCTAAACGGGAAACTGTTGCTGCTGAACTGGCCTGCCGCACTCTGTAAAAAAACCCCGTCTTTTTTCAAGGTTAACAGAAACTAACAGTCATTTCCCAATTACATGGCTAAATATAATGAGGAATCTGTGGAGCCTTCTGTCTTTTTTTCTTCTTTTTTTTTGCCTATTTCTGAGTGACAGCAATATTCTGCCTGTGGAAGACACACAATAAAAGCAAAATTACAGCCGTCTGTTTTTATCCGATTCCTACTTTATCACTTGAAGTTTAATATATTTTACTTTGGAATGCTGTCTAATATGCTCGTTGTATCCTGAATATGAAGTAACGTTTCTGAATGATAGGATATTGCTTCCCTCTGTGATCTGTCTTCAATTAAGGGATGCTCTCAGGAAATGACACTTTGGGATCAGCAAACGCCAATCTTCTACCTGGGCAATTTTCAAGAAGAAATCCTCCGTTCCTCCAAGCCCACATTGACTTTTACAATTACATTACATTTAATAGAAATATTTCAGCTGCCTAATTTCTCAATTCTGGGGGCTCGGTACACGAAAACATTTACTGGTTAATAATTTCTAATGTAATAGTTGAAAGAAAATGATTTCACAAAATAAATAAAAGGGAATCCAGCTAGAAATTAAAAAGGAGCATGGAGCTTTCTTTTCTGATAAGAGCTTGTGACCTCCCTTTCCTGTAATAGAAGCTAGTAACGGCTTCTGCAAATTCCAAACGCAGAAACTAATTCAAGCCAAAGCTAACTTAGATTAATTAAAAGAAATAAGCCATAAAGAGAGTAAGGCATGGGCTGCTGCAATACATGAGGGATTTCCCCAGAATCTGTCTTTAGCTTTCAGAAATCTTCAAACAGGAAAATACGTTATTTTAAAGCGAGGGTGGAAAAATAACACTTTGCTTACTCTGAGAGCAGTCCGTCCCTATCCAGCCCGGAAAACACTGGCACGACCCGTCGATAGGATTGCACGTCCCGTTCTCGGTGCACTGACAGACCTCGGCACAGTTCTTCCCGAATTTTCCACTGGGACAGACTGAAAATATAAGGCAGTTTACTTGAAGGCTCTTCATAATGTATATGAGGAAGCCCTGTGACTTAACATGTAGCAATTAAAGTAATCACAATGGTTCTTCTTGCTGAAGCCAAACAGGCAAAATTCTTCTGGAAAGAAGGAAAAGGCACAAAGTGTTCACATCTGTTTTGTTTGCTTATATCCCAGGCATAAAAGCAACAGGAAAAAATTGTCTCAAAATCCATTTTTCTGCTGGAAAATGAGTCGAATATAGTTAGAAGACTACAATTATTGAAGCTCAGTATGGAAGGATGAAAAAAGGAGAGACCAAACAGAGAAAACGCGCTACTCGGAGAGGAAGAGAACAGTAAGGTTGAGGAGAATCTGAAGAGTAGCAGCAAACCTCAACAATAAGAGTTGCAACCTCAACAATAAGAGCAACAAAGTAGGAAAGGAACATTTTAAGCTAAAAATCAGCCTAGTGAAGAAGACTCAAGAAGATGAAGAGCAACGAGGATTCTTACTTTCAGGTCTGCCACTAGAACCTAACTCACTTGTGTCGTACAGCTGATAATGACAGTAATAACACACCAAAAGCTGCAAAATTTACCCCTGTGATTCTATGATTCTACTTGGTACAATGGCCTGACAGAAAGTCACAGAATTATGGAATGCTTTGAGTTGGAAGGGACTTTTAAAAGTCATCTAGTCCAACCCCCCTGCAGGGAGCAGGGACATCTTCAACTAGATCAGAGCCCCATCCAACCTGACCGTGAATGCTTCCTGGGATGGGGCTTCTATCACCCCTCTGGGCAACGTGGGCCAGGGTCTGACTGCCTTCATCATAAAACCACACCAGCCATGGGTACTGCACTAGGAGGCCAGCGCCCGGGAAACAGCTGACGGCAGATAAGCTTGTGAGAAGAGGCTGAAAGAGCTGCAGTCCTTTCCCTGCCATCCCACGAGCAGCAAAAATGCATCGTGCGCCATGCGGCGCTGCAGTCCCGGGGATGCTGGAGCACCCGCCTCGTTCCTTGTAGATCAAACAGCGTGAGAGCGGGTGGTGCCTTTGCTACTAAATACAGGCTAAATCCAGGCAATGTTGGTGGGAGGTGGGCTCCCAGCATCTCGCAGCTTCAAATCATGCCAGCGGAGAGTAAACCAGGAGCAAGACTGCCACTTCCATAAGTATTTTTACCATAAAAGTCTGGCAGATGACTACTCCCACAAATAAAGCACATAATCCAATTGCTGAAACATTGTGCTTGTCTTCTGGCATTCAACCATCTACTCCTCTCCAGTACCCTTACTTTGATGCAGCAAGCGTTCAGTTAGGTTGCAGATGTGGTTCCCAAGGATTATATATCTATATACATCTACATATGTTTGACTGGAAGCTGTTAAACAGATGTGCTGCATCCCAGCAAAATCAGTATCAATTCCTGTTTGTTCACCCAACTTACTCCTGAAGTTGGAAGAAAAAAACTTCTCTATTGGTTTCAGAGTCATCTTACAACAGCCTAAGCACAGTGACATAAAACTAATAGACATGTAGATCTCCAACCTCCCACCAAATTATTGGAAATCTTTAATGTTAAAGTTGATGGAAAGCTCTGCTCAGTAATGAATGAAATGTTTAATTTCAGTGCTCTTATTGGCTGTGTTCCCTGACAAAAACAGATGTATTTTCAAAACAAGATAAAACATCCAGTCCATCTTTGCAAAGAATGTAACAAATGGAACTGGACTTGCATCCTGGTAAATAATAGTGATGTCAAAAAAGTGATTAAGGCACTTCTTTGAATTATGCAACTCTTTTACCACTTCAGCCACTCTTACTTTCTCATATATAGACTCTGCAGGTGACCTCAATCTATCCTGACTGTGAATCAGCCAGATTGAAACGCTGAGCCGTGATTCATTTGCTGTTATAGAAGTTGCCTCTGCTCTTACTGTGGCAGAAACCTAAGAATGTGCACACTATTGCTTTCTGCGTGTATTTCTATATACTACTGACTTATCTGGAGGAGCGGATAAAGTTGATTTGGACTTTCAAATTATGTGCTAAACAGAATAGTTTTCTAACCGAAAAGAGATAAAACTAAACACAATATACAGACACAATGCAAAGAACAATACACGAAGAGAGGGAAGGAAAGAAAAGCCCTCATATCACAGAAAGAGCAAAAATTAAAATCTGTCAGCCTAGGTTCTCATACGTGCTACACCATTATTCAGTTCCAATGCAATATTTTTATTGCACCTTTAAGATGGAGATGGATAACATCACTTAAAGGAAGGCTGGATTTTCTTATATGTACAAAAAATAGTTCTCAAAAGGAGTCGATTTGCACTGCAACATGGAACACTAACGAACTGGGGAAAGATTTGTGATCCAAACGCCACAGCTGACAAAAGGCAAGAGGTCATACTTTATAAAAAAAGCAGCTTCGCTTTGGCACTCGGTGGGAGCCAGCAGAGGGGTTCCTGCTGTGTGAGCACCTCTCGTGTCAGTGAAGGAGTACAATGCCCTCCAGAACATCAGCACAGCAGGATTACCAAACCCAGCCTGCCAAAAGGGTTGTTCTCATTAATTTCAGTAACCTGGTTGTGGCGTCTCTCTGGTAATACCCGAGATCCAGATACAAGCACTTTTTCAAATGTCTCCAACGTTTTTAAACAAAGCTGGGAAGTAAGGACTAATACCGCTTTCTGCAGGAGCAATCTGATTTTAGAGCGCAGATAGTGATGTTAATTAGCTATAAAAGCTCTGAAGTGGGACTCCAAAAGTCCCCGTGGGATGTCAGGTGTGTGCTAGCAGCGATAACAAGTTATTATCAATCCATCTTGCTACATGGTTGTGAAAGATATTCATAAACCAGCTGCTTAGTTGTTTGCTGCTCTGAATCCTCAGCACACCCATGTCAACCTGTGCCGTTTCGGAGGTTACACAGCTCCCCACACACATGTGCCGCTGATGGAAGAATGTCCCCGCTGCCAGAAAAGAGATGGCACAAGGAGATGAAAATTCGAAAGCGAAATCTTCGTTTCACGTTTTTTTCTAATGAAAAAACGTTAATTAACATTTTTCTTTCTACAAAATAAAGTTACATGCTAACTCATTATGACAAACTGCAACACAAATTGATTTTAATTAGGACATGAATATTTTAAAATTAATTTGCCGGATAGATCAACATTTCAAAGTAAAACCAGAAGTGCTGAACATCTGAGCAAAAATAAAATAGTTTTCTTAAGAGGATAATTAGTCCTGCTTATGCTTTGAATTCTGGCTAACTTTTCACATAAAATGGACAAAATCACTGAAATACGTTCATTTTAATAAACTCATTGGTATAATGTTTAGTTGACTGTACAGCACAGGAAAAAAGAAAACATGGTTATACTTAATCTATGTTTAATGACTTTGCATAAGTATTGCCTGCAATTTCTAACTTACTGAAAAGCAGGTCATTAAAAAGTGTCGGTTCCATTTTTACCGGGATGGCGACTTCACAAGGGCAGTAGCTATTACGAATAATTTCTTTTGAATCTGTATGTAGAAAATACCTAAGGGAGTGTGCAACAACTGACTCTCTGCAGAATACAGTGACGACTCTGCGGGCATTTATAGGGTAAAACTGAAAATTAAACCTGTGGTTAAAAAGTGGACTAACTTTCAAAGGTATAGAAAGGTGATGGACGTTAGGGGGAGTTGCGGCAACTCTTCACCTCTGAAAATTAATTCACTTTTCCTGCCTCGATGCAAATTTTTCCGTCTCCTGCCCTTGTGTTTAGGTGCGTGTGATTTGAGCTACTCCCAGTCAGGTCTTAGCCAGGGTGAATAAGGTTCCATATACTGCCTGAGTGTTTGGGCTTGTGTACCTCAGC